GCCCTTGCTGGGTTTCTTTACCTTGTTACAACTGGCTCCCTGTTTTGGTTCGTGTTTGGCCAGCCGAGGGCACCGCTTTGCCCTTGGGACTGGGGGACTTAAACAATCTCTTCTTGTTGGTGGGATTGGGCCTGTTTATTCTCTCCCGAAACTCTGTTTCAAACCCTTTCGCACCCCCTAAGGCCTTTTCCCCCCTGAGATCTTCTCCCTTTTCCTCCCTTTCCCCCACTTCCCCCCCTACGGCCTTTTCCTCCCTGGGATCTTTTTCCTTTCCTCCCTGAGATCTTCCCCCCCCTTTCCCTGTTGAGATCCTTTCCCCCCTTTCCCCCCTACGGCCTTTCCCCCCGCTGAGATCTTCTCCCTATTCCTCCTTAAGGGAAAGGGGGGAAAAGATCTTTGGGAGGAAAATGGAAATCTTTCTCGGGGGGAACAGGCCCTAAGGGGCAATGGGGGGACAGGATCTCAAACGGAAAAGGGGGAAAAAGACTTTGGGAAGAGAAGGGTGGAGATCTTGGGGGGAAAAGGCCTTAGGGGGGAAACGGGGGAAAGGATCTTAAGCGGGAAAGGGGGGAAAAGATCTTAGGGAGGCAAAGGGAGACAAACTCAGGGAAAAGGACTTAGGGAGGAAAGGGGGGGAAAGATCTTTGGGAGGAAAAGGGAGAAGAACTGAGGGTGGGAAAAGGCCTTAGAAGGAAAAGGGGGGAAATAAATGATCTCAACAGGGAACTGGGGGGGGGGGGAAAGATCTTAGGGAGGAAAGGCAGAAGATCTGGGGCAAAAAGGCCTTAGGGGGGAAAGGGGAGAAATGATCTCAACAGGGCAAGGGGTGGAAAAGATCTTCGGGAGGAAAGGGAGAAGATCTGGGGAAAAAAGGCCAACAGGGAAAGGGGGGAAAAGATCTGGAAGGAAAAGGGAAAGGGGGGAAAGGATCTCAACAGGGAAAGGGTGGGAAAGATCTTAGGGAGGAAAGGGGGGGGGAAGATCTTAGGGAGGAAAGGGAGAAGATCTGGGAGAAAAGGACTTAGGGGGGAAAGCCCAACAGGGAAAGGGGGGAAAAGATTTAGGAAGGAAAAGGGAAAGCTCTCAGGGGGGGGAAAGGCCTTAGGGGGGAAAGGGGGAAAAGGATCTCAGCAGGGAAAGGGGGGGGGGGGAAAGATCTTAGGGAGGAAAGGGAGAAGATCTGGGGACAAAGGCCTTAGGGGGGAAAGGGGAGAAATGATCTCAACAGGGAAAGGGGTGGAAAAGATCTTAGGGAGGAAAGGGAGAAGATCTGGGGGAAAAAAGGCCAACAGGGAAAGGGGGGAAAGATCTAAGGAAGGAAAAGGGAGAAGCTCTCAGGGGGGGGAAAGGCCTGAGGGGGGAAAGGGTGGGAAGGATCTCAACAGGGAAAGGGGGGAAACAATCTTAGGAAGGAAAAGGGAGAAGATCTGGAAAGGCCTTAAAGGGAAGGGGGGAAAGGATCTCAACAGGGAAAGGGGGCAAAGGATCTTAAGGAGGAATAGGAAGAAGATCTCAGCGGGGGGAAAGGCCGTAGGGGGGAAAGGGGGAAAGGATCTCAACAGGGAAAGGGGGGGAAAGATCTCAGTGAGGAAAGGGAGAAGGTCCCAGGCAGGGAAAAGGCCTTAGGGGGGAAAGGGGGAAAGGATCTCAACAGGGAAAGGGGGCAAAGGATCTTAGGGAGGAAAAGGGAGAAGATCTGAAAAGGCCTTAGGGGGAAAAGGGGGAAAGGAGCTCAACAGGGAAAGGTGGGAGAAGATCCTAGGGAGGAAAAGGGAGAAGATCTCGGGGGGAAAGGGGAAAGGATCTCAACCAAGGGAAAAGATCTTGGGGAGGACAAGGGAGAAGATCTCAGGGGGGGAAAGGCCTTAGGGGGGAAAGGGGGGAAATGATCTCAACAGGGAAAGCAAGCAAAGGATCTTAGGGAGGAAAAGGGAGAAGACCTTAGGGGGGAAAACGCCTTAGGGGGGAAAGGGCGGGCAAGGATCTCAACAAGGAAAGGTGGGAAAAGATCCTAGGAAGGAAAAGGGGGAAGATCGCGGGGGGAAAAAAGGCCACAGGGGGGAAAGGAGGGAAAGGATCTCAACAGGGAGAGGGGGGAAAACATCGTAGGGAGGAAAAGGGAAAACTCAGAGGGAGAAATAGGATGGAAAGGAGGAATGGATCAACAGGGAAAAATGGCAAAAGATCTTAGGGAGGAAAAGGGAGAAGATCTCAGGGGGGGAAGGCCTTAGGGGGGAAAGGGGGGAAATGATCTGAGCAGGGAAAGGGGGGGAAAGATCTTAGGGGGCAAAGGCCTTAGGGGGGAAAGGGGAGAAATGATCTCAACAGGGAAAGGGGTGGAAAAGATCTCAGGGAGGAAAGGGAGAAGATCTGGGGGAAAAAAGGCCAACAGGGACAGGGGGGAAAGACCTACGGAAGGAGAAGCTCTCAGGGGGGGAAAGGCCTCAGGGGGGAAAGGGTGGGAAGGATCTCAACAGGGAAAGGGGGGAAACAATCTTAGGAAGGAAAGGGGGGGGGGGGAAGATCTTAGGGAGGAAAGGGAGAAGATCTGGGAGAAAAGGACTTAGGGGGGAAAGCCCAACAGGGAAAGGGGGGAAAAGATCTTAGGAAGGAAAAGGGAGAAGCTCTCAGGGGGGGGAAAGGCCTTGGGAGGGAAAGGGGGGAAAGGATCTCAACAGGGAAAGGGTGGGAAAGATCTTAGGGAGGAAAGGGGGGGAAGATCTTAGGGAGGAAAGGGAGAAGATTTGGGAGAAAAGGACTTAGGGGGGAAAGCCCAACAGGGAAAGGTGGGAAAAGATCTTCGAAAGGAAAAGGGAGAAGCTCTTAGGGGGGGGAAAGGCCTTAGGGGGGAAAGGGGGAAAAGGATCTCAGCAGGGAAAGGGGGGGGGGAAAGATCTTAGGGAGGAAAGGGAGAAGATCTGGGGACAAAGGCCTTAGAGGGGAAGGGGAGAAATGATCTCAACAGGGAAGGGGTGGAAAAGATCTTAGGGAGGAAAGGGAGAAGATCTGGAGGAAAAAAGGCCAACAGGGAAAGGGGGGAAAGATCTAAGGAAGGAAAAGGGAGAAGCTCTCAGGGGGGAAAGGCCTTAGGCGGGAAAGGGTGGGAAGGATCTCAACAGGGAAAGGGGGGAAACAATCTTAGGAAGGAAAAGGGAAAAGATCTGGAAAGGCCTTAAAGGGAAGAAGGGAAAGGATCTCAACGGGGAAAGGGGCAAAGGATCTTAAGGAGGAATAGGGAGAAGATCTCAGCGGGGGGAAAGGCCTTAGGAAGGAAAGGAGGGAAAGGATCTCAACAGGGAAAGGGGGGGAAAGATCTCAGTGAGGAAAGGGAGAAGATCCCAGGCAGGGAAAAGGCCTTAGGGGGGAAAGGGGGAAAGGATCTCAACAGGGAAAGGGGGCAAAGGATCTTCGGGAGGAAAAGGGAGAAGATCTGAAAAGGCCTTAGGGGGAAAAGGGGGAAAGGAGCTCAACAGGGAAAGGTGGGAGAGGATCCTAGGGAGGAAAAGGGAGAAGATCTTGGGGGGAAAGGGGGAAAGGATCTCAACCAAGGGAAAAGATCTTGGGGAGGACAAGGGGGAAGATCTCAGGGGGGGAAAGGTTTTAGGGGGGCGAGAGGGGAAAGGACCTCAACAGGGAAAGGGGGCAAAGGATCTTAGGGAGGAAAAGGGAGAAGATCTTGGGGGGGAAAACGCCTTAGGGGGGAAAGGGCGGGAAAGGATCTCAACAAGGAAAGGGGGGAAAAGATCTTAGGAAGGAAAAGGGGGAAGATCGCGGGGGGAAAAAAGGCCTTAGGGGGGAAAGGAGGGAAAGGATCTCAACAGGGAGAGGGGGGAAAACATCGTAGGGAGGAAAAGGGAAAAACTCAGAGGGAGAAAGGGCCTTAGGGGGGAAAGGGGGAATGGATCTCAACAGGGAAAGGTGGCAAAAGATCTTAGGGAGGAAAAGGGAGAAGATCTCAGGGGGGGAAAGGCCTTAGGGGGGAAAGGGGGGAAAGGATCTGAGCAGGGAAAGGGGGGGAAAGATCTTAGAGAGGAAAGGGAGAAGATCTGGGGGCAATGGCCGTAGAGGGGAAAGGAAAGAAAGGATCTCAACAGGGAAAGGGGTGGAAAAGATCTTAGGGAGGAAAGGGAGAAGATCTGAGAGAAAAAGGCCAACAGGGAAAGGGGGGAAAGATCTAAGGAAGGAAAGGAAAAGGGAGAAGCTCTCAGGGGGGGGGAAAGGCCTGAGGGGGGAAAGGGTGGGAAGGATCTCAACAGGGAAAGGCGGGAAACAATCTTAGGAAGGAAAAGGGAGAAGATCTGGAGAGGCCTTAAAGGGAAGGGGGGAAAGGATCTCAACACCCTTAAGGCATTTTTTCCCCAGATCTTCTCCCTTTCCTCCCTGAGATGAGATCCTGTCCCCCCATTGCCCCTTAGGGCCTGTTCCCCCCGAGAAAGATTTCCATTTTCCTCCCAAAGATCTTTTCCCCCCTTTCCCCCTTAAGGCATTTTTTCCCCAGATCCCCCCCCCCCCCCCCGCAATAGTCTGAAATGCTGCCCCTGGGGAGGGGTTAGGGGAGGGGTAACAGGTAAAGAGGTAAGGAGCATTTCTTATGTCCAACACGCCGTCTGTTGTCGGCGGACTTGTAAACATGTGTACATGCACATAGCGCCTTGAAACCAACCTAGCAAGGTGTCCTTGATCGTTGAGTGAACAGGTCCACGATCTGACAGATTCATACTCGTGCGCTGCCTCTATTCTCGTTTGGAGCATCCAGTGAACTCCGCACCGGCCGTATGTTTGGCTGCTACAGGCGTTTCGCTTCAGATCTAAGTTGAGTAGTTTCGTTTTTGCCGGCTTGTTCCATCGTGGTTTTGAAGCAGACAGTTGCTAGATGTTGGCCATGCACAGAACATGCGCATTCTGCACCCCTTGCGGTTTCAGCCTGGCCCAGTTTGTCCAAATGCGATCTACGCCCATTTTAGCTGACGCCGGCACGTGGTGCTTTCATAAATCAGATCATGGATCGAGGACGGCAACCACAGGCGCCAGCGCTCTTGGTTGAGGATGAGTTCCTCTGCTTTGATTTAGACGGTCACAAATGTGTAAGACAGACTTGCATTTTGCCGCAAGTTGCTGGCTGAACGGATCGCGGGCTGGACCGCTGGCTGGCTGGATCTTGCTAAAGCCTTCGCGTGCCGCGCCGATGCTCGCAGAAGCCGGTGCGGATCCTGCAGAAGCCACCAGAGGAGAAGAAGGAGCAGGCAGGTGCTGCCCTGGAATTTCGGGATGCCCGGTTTTCAAGTCGAGAAGAGGGTGTGCCGACTACTTTTGCGTACCCACGACTCAAGAAAACGTATCTTTTCAAGTCCATCGATCTGGCCTCATTACTTTACCATGATCAAAGTCACCCCCGAAGTGGTGGGTTGAAGGGAAACAACCCCATTTGCCGACTTTGATAACTCCCCAAAACCGTGAAGATAACGACCCCTGTCGATGGAGGGAGCGCAGCTTGCTCCATGTTGCACGAGCGTGTTCAGAAGCTCCCGAGACCTTTCTGCGGGGAGGATGCGGTTCTGCCGTTGAGATGCTTGACTCCGGATCCCTTGCGGATGCCAGTACACCAGGATTCATGATATAGCACTCCAGCAAATGTTCATTCCTGATCCTGGGGCCATGGCAGATCAGGCTTACTTGCATCATCAAGCTATTTAGTTGCAACAGGTGTAAGTGACAAGCTTGTTTCTTCACCTGACCGATCACATGCCAGCAGGCACTTGGATGCTGTCGATCCCGATCGCGCGGTTTGTTCCCGGCCAATCACGATTGAGAGAATGCCGCCAACTCATTTGCGATTTCAACTGGGAATTCCGGAAGCGAGCTGTTCTTTTGTTACTGTCTCTGACAGGGAACTTCACATTATGAGCATTGTGTGTGTGTGCGCGCACACCCCCTTGTTCCTTGCATTGCCCTTGCGTTGCCCTGGTATTGCCCTTCCATTGCCCTTGCATTGCCCTGGTATTCCTTATTGTGTTTCCTTTTGTTCCTCTTCTCTCCTTCGCTTCCCCTTTGTCTTGCTGGTGCGCAGTAGATGAGGAATGAACCTGGGGACTCCTGAATACAGGAAACAGACTGTTTGTGTTTTCTCGGGGTCATTCCATTTCTCATTCCCTGTCTATCGCACCGATTCTAAGAAAACGAAGGAATAGCCCAAGTTTGGGGGAGGGGGGGAGGGTGAAGGGGAACCACCCAAAATGGGGGGGGGATCAAGGGAAACCTGAATGGCAGCCCATCCGCTCCATCCATCCATCCATCCATTCATCCCTCCACTCCATCCACCCATTCCACCCAGCCACCCCCCGCCAATGAGATCCACCCACGCCCCCACGCCTTTCCGGACACCTGGGGTTTTGCTTTCTCCATATCGAGGCGCCGGAGCCAAGCTCCCCGGAGCCCAGGGCGGAGGCATGGAGATCGCTCGGGGATCGAGTCACATGGGCGTGGCTCAAAATTTTTCAGAGGTAGGGTTACGCAGGTTTTTGTCTTTGGTTCCATTTACCAGGGTGCCATTTTGGTACATCTTTTTGACCCACAGCCACATGTGGCGAATCTGTGGAACCTGCAGGACATTCAAAGAGTACAAGAGTAGTAAAGCAGAGCCTACAGAGAAAAAAGAAGGTGAACTCCGAGAAAAGAGCATCCAAGCCGGTTTCTAGAGTTAGCCAATTCCATGTGGTCACTGAACGCGCGTATTTGTCACTGGAATCCGGAAGCAAAGTGTCCTTCGATGGGCCGGAAGACAATGGTGATCTGATATGCGCAACCTGGTTGATCAACTGGAATTCCAAATCCCAAGACTGGCTGACACGCAGGCGCTCCTGAATAGGAGTAGTTCAACTCCGAGTGTTTTGGGACGATTGCTCTTTGATTCCTAAGGATGGTTGAGCACATTTCTTGACAAGCCGAATGTCCATTCACCATCCTGTTTGGGAATGCAGACCATGTTAACAGCAGTGATGGCTTTATGTTGACATTGCGCATTTCCGTAAAGCCAGCGCCGGGTTTTGGCAGAAACACTTGTGCCAGCAATCCCGCAGAGGTGCAAAGGGCTGACAGTACTGTTTCTGCGAGCACTTTGGGATAGTCGCCTGATGGCGGCAAGTCTGCCGAGCTCACTCCAAAAAACCGAATAAAATCCGCCCAAGTGGTCCCCCATGGAACTAGTACTGAATCTCCTTTACCCTACCTGAAAGCTGCCCCGAACAAGCCTCACAAGCAGAGCTGGGCCTATCGATAGCTTCCAGCTGTTGGGAACTGAGGGGTCTGAGGGGTGTTCGCAATGGCCGGACAGGGGAATCGATTTCACTACTGGACATATGTTTTATTTTTTTCCAGACTGAAGCAAATGGAAGTCAACCTTTGCTCCTCATTTCTTAAAAGACACCGGACGCCGGAGAAACCAAATACCACCGCGGTCCGTTTTTGTTCTTTCTTTTTTTTCTCCATCAGGACGCCGGCAAGGGCAAGGCCAAGAGCAGGCCGAGTCAGAGAGATGAATCGCGGGAAGTGTTCTTCTGTGACTGTGGGTTTGTCTCAATAATTTGGTGACTCGCCAAGACGGCGCTTCTTTTCCTGTTGTTGGTTGCCCTTTAACACTACCAAACAAGGGGGGTACCCGGAAAAAAAGCACAGGCATAGGTCAATCTTTACAGATTTCACGAAAAAGGACACCGACAGGAGAGGGGACTGGGCTTTGGGCTTTTGCGGAAGGCCACCAAAGAACTTGCTGGAATTCTCAGGGAAGCAACAGGGGGGTTGGGAATGAACCTAGGGATCCCCTTAAAGGAAGCCACAAGGGATGGTTAGGTCATAGCCGCATTCCCTGCTGAGCACCGGTCATAATAGCATATGAATCGATGAAAGCGATACTTGACAAGGCCAGAATCCAGAAAACGCGTTCGGCAAGATTGCACCACTCTACCTGTTCGATCTCGAGCTCACCTGGGGGTAACGAGCTCGCCATGATAAAGATCCTTTTGGAATTACAACAAAATATGTAGACCAATCATAGCGCCACGGCATGTGTGCAATCAAGAGTCGCGAAGCAGCGGATTTTCGTTTGCCATTTAGCAAGTCACAGATCGATATGTGCGTCTTTGAGGGAAACCCTTGGGTTGGTGTCCAGCGACCCACTATTTTTGGTTGGGGTCCCCGTAGTTTGACAAATACACCCATGGTGTGTCTTTTAGGGGACCCGGTTTTCGCGGGGTTTTCCCTTCAGGAAATCCCTGCAAAGGGGCGCCCTTAGCGAGGACACGGCCGTCGCCTCAGGTCGAAGCGCGGCCGCAACCGCGGGGTGCGGGCCCACGACGAGGCGCATCCGGCCGTGGTCTCGAAAGTTGTTGACCAGCTCCCGGAAAGGGTCGGTGGGAGGGATGGGGTGCTCGACACTCATCAACAAAAATCAAAAAAATGAGGGGTTGGAGCGGGGGCACATCCGGAAAGAGCCGGAGGAACAGCTGGTCAACTGTCGGACTTGGGCAAGAACTGGGTCGGTCGAGAAGTTTTACTCGTGGGTGCCCATGGGTACCCCTGTGTTGGTGCCTTTAAAGGGAAATCCACAAGTTGCAAAGGCCACCAGTTTGGGGGATCCATCTCAAAACAAGACCCAGCCAAACTTTCCCTAGTTGGTTTCAAAGTGAATCTATCCCTACTGGACATATATGTTCAGAGGGCATTTTTTTTGTTTTTTCATGTTCTTTTTGCTTTGTTTTTTGTTTCTCAGGGTGGGCGGCTTTTCGGCTTTTCGGCTTTTCGGCTTTTGTGTGGCTTTTGTGGCTTTTCAGTGGGTTTATGCGGCTTTTGTGGCTTTTGGCTAGTGTAAAATACGAACATTTCGTGAGACAATGCTGTAAACTACTGCATTTTACCAGCCAAGGCGGAAAACAACCTCCCCCCCCCCCCCTTCCAAAAAAAGAAAAGAACAGAACAAAAGTTAGATCTCGACCCTGAACCTTTGCTTTTCCAGGCGCAAAAGCAAATGGAAGCCCAGATGAGCCACAATCAAAACCCGGGTAGAAGGTGAAGGCGCAGTGGCCGGAATGAGTTGCGGCCCGTTGAATTCCTTTCAGGGTTCCTTTGGATCCACCATTTTGGTTCCGGGTCTTGATGACTCTGCGCACTCTCCTTGGGTTTTCAACGGGGCGGGCTGCGAGACGCGGAGACGCTGACTCGGCCGCTGACTCGGCCGCTGCGCGCGCGCGCCGGACTCGGCTCGGAGGACTCCGACGCGGAGTGGTCTGAGGCCTCCGAGTCTGCAGAGGCGTCGATGCGAAGGGCCGCTGGGCAGAGCCGGCGGATGGGGATGGAGGGATTTGGAACCTGGGAATTTCTTGGTGGCGAAGCCGGCCATCCGGTTCTGAAAGTTTTTTAGATCCTTTTAGTGTTTAGTGGTAGCTTCCATTTAACCCACTAAAAGTTAAACTTTTAGCGGGGGATCTGAGGACAGCCCAGGAATGTGTCAAAGAAATTGCGGAATGCTGATTGAACAACGTCTTCGCAAGAGATGAAGGGATACCAGTGGGTTAACATGTTGCAATGCCACGTTGGCGCTTGCTTAAAGATTGTTGCGGTTAACACTTGTGTTAAAAGTAACAACCGATAGCGGAAGGCATTTGAATCACACTCAGATTCGAACCTTGAGTGCCTGCAGGATGACACTGCTTGATTCATGCTCCGTTCGCCATTTTGGCGAATTAGCCAAATTTTTCTTTTCTTTCCGACCTACCTGCCCTGCCTGCTCGACCGCCATGACTGCTCCAGCGAATTTCGCATCCATCGTGGAGGAGTACCAGCTCATGGAAATGACCGAGCTCGACCCGGATTATGAACGACTGTACCGGGCCCTTCAGGACCATCTTTCGATCCTGCCCGAGGCGGTCGGTCCGGGCAACATCTTGCAGGGCAATCAGGTCTGCAACCAGTTCATCAACCATTCCGGCTGCAGGGGACGTGCACCTGCCTCTGCCCACCAGTGCGCCTTTTTGCATCCGGAGTTCGTTGATGCGCGTTGGATGCCGCGAGACAACATCTGTTACCGACATCTTCGACAACAGGCCCGGCATCCAGAAGGCTTTTGCGACAGTGGTGCCGAATGCCGCCATGTTCACAGCGACTCAGTCCTGCATGGTGACCTTCTTGCCTGGCTGCGCTTCGTGCACCATGCCAGACCCAACACCGGCGTGGGCATCCACTATGACACAGCCCACCGTGAATGGCGCTTCGTGTCCAGGCGGGAGGCCTTTGAAATCCTCCGCGACCACCTTCACGGCGAGTGGAACACGCCCATTCACCACATGAACGTTCGGTACCCCGATCCGTGCACCTACCAGATGCCATACGCGGTACCACGTGGCCCGCCAAGCACATTGAACCCGTCTCGCCAACGGAACAACACCCCCCGACAGCAGCGAGGCCGCTCCACACAACCGGGATACTCCCGAGCTATGACACCACCGCGGACCGTCAACTTCGCGACACCCACGGCTCGCGACACTCCCAGACAGGCCCGATTCCCGGAGGCGACCACCACATCGACCGGGCCCGTCCCGCACCACATGCCTTCACCACGCCCGCAACCCACCACACCATCCAAGGCGGCACCCCCCACACCATCCAACCAACATCACGACTTAGTCCAGTGGCTCCAGCCGCCAGGCATCGACCGTGACGACAGCACACAAGGCCTGCTGTCAACCCAGCGGGCCGGACACATCCGCGCGCGGGTACACGAAGATGCCACCTTCCTGATCAATCCGGAACTGCTACCGGAATTCCCCTCCGTCCTCGACCACATCGGCTTGCAATGGCACCTGACCAACTACGGCATCTTCTCGCGCACCCCCACCAATGTGTACGGCAATGACTTCGGGGGCCTTTTTCTTGTACCCGTGGAACCAACTACGCAGGTCACACCTCTCAGGAGCCTGCTGCGCTGGATTATCCAGCAACACGTTCACCAACAACTCCAGCTGCTCAACAGCGCCAACCGGCAGCACATGCTACAACAACTGACCTGTTCCTGGCTTACCTTCGGGAGGCAGCTCTGTCGCGCCTCCCGGCGAGACCCTTTTGTGGACAACATGGCAATCACCTTCGGGGAGACCATCATTGAGACAATTTCCAATTTCCTGACCCCCGAACAACGCACCATGGCGACCATCGAGGGCATCCTGCTCGGCCCCGACGGACACCTGCGCTTCAACCGGGAGCTCTAAGACTGAGCAGAGCCAGGACTCCCGCTACTGACCAGGCGGCACCGAGGAGTCTCCAAACCCGCCACCCTAAGTTGACCCACCAAGTCCATGTCCCGTGCGATGGTGGGCCAGCAATAGGGCGATGACCCTCATACCGCACAGGTGACACCCATGCCTAGGCGACCGCCTGAGGCCCCCTTTTCCCGAAGAGAGATCCATCTTCGGACCGCGCAAAAGCGCTGAGAGCCTCGAGCCCGGGTCGACCCTCTTCGTCCCCCCTGTTTGATTCGAGAGGATACCCCTTGACAAACCGACCCACTGCTGAGGCCCATACTGCGGTGACCAATCCCCACTCGCCTGCCCCGAACCCGACCGGTCTTTCACCCCACTTCGGATCCCCTGTGGATTACCCTCGGTTTCTTCGGGTCGGATCCCTGATGACAAACTGGCCGACCCCGGTCACCTTCACACCGCAGGGAGTTGGTCCTACGGGACAGCTCCACCCCTCGGGATGACATTTGTGCCGGTGTGGCGTGTCATCTAACACGACGTTTGTGCCGGTGTGGCGCGTCGTACAGATCCCCCCCATCAACGGGCCATCCTTGGACCCGAGTCACCTAGACACACCCCCCTGGCCCGACCAACCCCCCCCCCTTTGACTCACACCCGGCACACTACCGACTCCTGCGTGAGTTCGGCAAGCGCCACCTCCAATTCCGAAGGAATTTTCAGGCTGGCTTTTGTGTATCCGATATCGCACCCCCTTCGCACAACATGGCACTTCGCGAGACCGACGCAGTCTGCGAGCTCCTCCTGCGGTCCTACAACACCGGCGTCCTCTCGAGGTTCCAGACCTTCCGCACCGAGAATCCCCGCCTCTCCACCACGGACGCGATCGACCTCTTCATGGAGTCGACCAACACCGAGCCGGACACGCGGACACGCTACCTGCTGCTGGACTGGCACAACCTGAATCCAACACCAGCCACACTGCAGTGCTCGTTCTGCCAGATCCCATACCAATCCCAGTACATCATGCCCCTCTGCTTCTCAGAGGAAACCGACTGGCGAAACAAGTGGGTCGGGGCGTGCTACGGGTGCGCTACCTGCGACACCAGTAGCGTGCCGTGGTTCCAGTTCGAGGAGCTCCTGGCCGACCCGAACTCCCTGATTGCAGAACACGCACCGTACAACACCATCGCAGAGCACCCCGACCTCGCGGCCATGATCAGCGACCATACCATCGCCCCACCGACCTTACAGATTGCGGTGCCAGAGACGGACGACGCTCACGACGCCTACATCACCGTGCACAGGTGGGACCAGGTCAACCGCCGCTGGATCAGGGTACCAGCCCTCGACGTGAAGAACCGCCGGCCATTCACCCTCGAGGTGTTCAGCAAGCTGTGCCGACGAGCATGGCGACGCCGCTTGGACTACATGACCAACAAGGCCGTCGGCACCATCCGCACGAACACCCACATGGACATGATGGACTCCTTGCGCGAGATCCACCCCGGAACCTCCAACAACCACCTGCGCCGCCTCATCAGCGACCACTCCAAGTTCCTCGCCGAAACCATGTGCCTCGACCTCATCAACCTGGCACCCGAGGACCGACGAGACCTATTCCTCATGTTCCACAAATGGGAGAGGCAGCACCTCACCGAGGCATTGCGCGCAAACAGCACCGGGACCCTCCTTGAGTTCTTGGACTCTGACGACTATCCCACACACCTCACCGATTTCATCACCCGCGTCCTCCCGTCCACCGACGAGCACTTTATCTGCCGACGTCAGTCGTGCAAAGCGGTGGTACATTCGTCACATTGGCTGCGCGCCACCGCCAACATCACCGAGCACGGCCAGTTCTTCTGTCCCGAGTGCCTCCAGCAATACCACCCCTGGAAAACCTACAGTGACGCCAAAGCCGCATCCCGAGGGGAGGCCCTGACCGCAGCCGGCCAAGACGACACAGAACGCTTCGTGCCGGCCCAGAAGTGCCTCGTGGTACGCGCCACCGCTGGAGCACACGAGACGGACCAATTGGCAGAGGCCATCACCGGCGACGACGACCGGCGCTACATGCTCTACCTTCTTCGCTGGGAGGAGGACACGACCGGCAAGCTCATCCAACAGATGAAGGTCCACATCAACGAGATCGCATCCGACCTGCGACAAGCCAAGGACCCCCGCGCCTATCTGGCCGACATGATCATGAACAACATGCAGACGGCTCAGAAACTGCCATACATGCACAGGACCTTCTGGACCCAAGAGAAGCTGGAGCAAGTCGCCCAGCGCAACCTGGGACGCATCAAGCCACTCCGAGTCGACCTGCTCCCCAGCCAGAAGCGACAACGCCACCAACCCGCCACGCCCTTCTACGACATGCGGCGCTATCGCTACGACCCCAGTTCCACCCGCATCCTTGAGTCCTCGGACCTCGCCAGAGTGATGGGGCTGTGCTTTTGCCGCCTCAAGCTCTGGACCTGCCAAGACCTCGAGGGGGCGGACCGTCTCAACCACTTGAGCGCCCTGTGACGGACCTCGACCAGCACCGCAACCACTACGACCCGAAGGGCGTCCGTGTCCCGCGCGAGCCCGGAGGGTCCGACCAACGCGGTTGCCTTCGCACGACCCATCTTCCTGAACCTGCCGCCGAAGTGCAACCTCGTTTGGCAGTACGTCAGGACACCCGTGCAAAGAGCAAAAGGCGCACCATGTGTTTGAAGCCAAACACCCCTAAATCCCCCCGGACTTTTGCTCACCTTGATTGTTTGCATTGTGCTTTTGTCTCCACGTGTGGCAAACCTTTGATACATTTTACATAGCCATTTTTTGGCCCCTCTCGGCCCTTGATACAGATCACCCCGAGATGACGTTCCGTGACATTCGAGCATGGCTACACCAGCGGTCCTTGCTGGCGATCGCCCCGCTCGTTGCCCTAGCCGGAATAGACGACTTGGCGACATTCCGCAACATGGACCGGGCTGCATTGGTGCGGATCGGCGTGCCACACGACCTGATCAATCGACTCCTGGGCGACGACCAACTGGTCCTTGAC